GCTTTGCAATATCCCCTATATCTACTCTTACATGATTTCTCTGTCCCAAGCTCAAATTGTCCCTTTATAGCATGCTTATGGACAGCCTTCCTGAATTCTACCATACTACTATAAATGGAACCAACTTCCATTGGAGGGTTGTCCGGATCATAACCAATACCTTCCTCCTCAGGGATCAAATCATCAACTGGCAATGCTGCATCTTCTAGGTCTACATCAGTAACAACTTCAAGTTGGTTTTCTGCTGCTACCTTTTCTTGTTGTGCCCTCTCATCCTCACCTCTAAGACCAAGAAATTCATACATAGCATCTTCATCCATCAAATTAACTGCAGCACCTATATGCTCTTCTGCAATTGAAACTATCTCAAGACTGTCCCAATCAATCACATGAGGCTCAGTACTACCATCTGTGACTGCTTCATTGCTCATGACTGCCTCTGAAACACATGACTTAGAAACATGGAATAAAGGTTTGTCCTCCACATCCACATACAAAATAATCTTATGATCTGTCTTCCTCTCAGACAAAGCACAGGCCAAATCATTATCATCCACCAAATCCCTTTCTCCACCAGTGTCTATGTCAAATTCAGAAATTCTAAGATGCTGGCAGCTGCCCCACTTCACCCTTTCAGCTAGTTCCTTCTCCACCGAATCCAAATTACAATAGCGATAGTCAACAGTCCACTCAACGTATTTCCGTGGCACATCAACACAGCTACCATCATCTAGCTTTGCTAAGAAATGAGAAATCTGAACACACACTCTAACTGCTGCATCCAGATCGATCCTAACGAGTACCGACAAAAAAAACAAATATACTTATCAGTTAGTTGTATCATAATCGTCCTAATCGGTCGCACATGCATCTTCCCAACTCAAACACAACTTAGAGGACAAGGATTGCAGCCTTACCCAGGAGGGATCTCGAAAGAATCCATGGTGCTCGGTCAAGCTCCTCCAGAACGGAGTGGCGGAGGCGGGTAGTGGAGATGGTGGCCAGCGGCTGCGTGGGCAGATGGAGGCGGGCTAGGGTTCTTCCAGTCGGCTGCAGTCGATGGGTTCCCGGTGAAAGAAAAGTTTGATATTTCACTTTTGTTTTTTGAGTACTCAATGGTACACGCGAGCGAGCGAGCGAGATTCAGTTTTAGTTTTACTAAAATACCCCTCCCTACTACTACTTAATTGAATACATACTATTCACAGGGGCAAAACTGTCACATCTCCTAGAATAATAGGCAACAATAATAAGTTGAAAAGAAAAAATGAAAAAAATAGGGGGGAGTCCCTCAGATGCAACGAATTCGTGTGTCGGGTGTCAAATTTGCAAAGGCTTACGAATTTGGTGTCAAATTCAATGAGGCGCGCGGATTGGGTGTCAATTATCAAAATTTCTCAATCCATCCCCCATCCATGGACAACTAGAAGGATTGAATGTACCTTCATTTTCAACATACAAAGTCATTTCTTTACTACCATATTTATGACATATAGCTCTTATTTCAATGTCTTCATCATCAATCAATGGCTTGAAACTCAAACCCACCAATAAGAAGTACTTTCTACTACCAACAACACCAAATTTGTTAGACATTTTCTTCAATGTGGACTCATTCAAGGACCTCATATGGACAAAGTCAAATGTCATTTTAGACCCTTCTTAATAACACACAAAACCTTCTCTTTGAAATGTTCCAACACACCACATAGTTATTGTAAACAACTCACTCTTACGATCTATGGATCACAGACCCAAAAAACAAACAAACACAGAGAGTTCATCATTATCCAAAAAAAAAATAAAAAATAAAAAAATAAAAAAATACAAAAACAAACAGGGGTACAAATGAAAAAGGCAAAATTGCAATAAACTCACCGTAGGCAGAGATGTCTAATCCGTATTGACTTCATCATCTTCACGTTCGTTCAATCGACCTTCTCAATCTGCCTTCATTTCATTGCCTCTCTCTCTCGAATCCTCTCTCTGGAATCGACCTTATCTCTCTGCTCTCTCTAAATTCGACCTTCAAACCGATGTAAATCGACCTTCTCTCTGGAATACACAATTTTATGTTCTGGAAAAAATCGATGGAAAATGTGAAGATTATGGTTTTGATCATACAATTAACGATTCATCTCCTTATACATTTTCCCTCCATTTATCTGTCTTACGTGGTTTTTTGGGTTTTTTTTTTTTGTTATATATTTTTTAATCCTTTTCTTTGCCACGTCTGACTATTGGCATACCAAGTCAGTGTAAAACGGACTTAAGATCTTCACATGCAGGCCACGTGACAAATCCACCCACAATTTTGAGTGTCGAAAGAACTGAAATTACGTTGACTTCTGAAATTAAATGACTAGATTGGAAAATGTTCCGATCCTATGAATAAAATTGCCATGAAACCAAAGCAGCAGGAGAAAAAATGCAATTTTGGCTCAAACACACGACACATCTAAAATAGAGAAATAGAATCAGATTTTGCCACTTACACAAGCAATTTCAAACCCCATAAACCGAATCAGGAGTCGATCCCCAATTTCCAAGCAAAGATCGCCCAATGCACCACCACCAACCACCTTCCGCCACGAGCACCTCCGCGGCCGTCCCTTCCCTGTACATCCTCCTCGGCACCGCCCTCTTCTCCGTCCTCCTCGTCCTCTCCCTCACCACCGCCCCCACTCCTCCGCCGGCCTCAATCCAGCCCCACCCCTCGCTATTCCCCCACCGCCTCTTCATCCACGACGGGGAAAACACCACCTCCGCCGCCGGAGAATCTCAGCGGCCGCCTCCTGCACCATCCCTAGCCTATTTCATATCCGGATCAGCCAAAGACTCGGGTCGGGTCGTCCGGCTCCTTCACGCCATCTACCACCCCAGGAACCATTACCTGCTCCACCTCGACACTTCTGCTAGCCAGGCCGATCGCGACGCTTTGGCCGTCACTGTCCAATCAGTGCCCATCTTCAAAGCTGCTCAGAATGTTCACGTGATTGGCAAGGCGAGCAATGTGTTATCGGGCGGGCCGTCTGATCTTTCGTCCACACTTCACGGTGCCTCCGTTTTGCTCCATTTGTCCGCTAATTGGGATTGGTTCATAAACCTTTCTGCTGCTGATTACCCTCTAATCACTCAAGATGGTATTTTTAAATGTTAGAACTATCTGCATATAAGTGGATTGAAGTTTGTGGCCCCCTGATTGTCAGTGGGTATTTGATACATTCTACAAGTTACTGAGCCTTGTGATTTCTTTACGTAAATAAATGATATGCAATTGAGTTATTATGAGATATTGGCGTTCTGTGTATGTGTACTTGGATCACTAATCTCGCTGCAACTGATTACCAGCTCCCTCTAGCTGGCAAATTTGTTTCCAAAATTGTATCATGTGCAAGTGTGAATTGTTATACTGAAATATGTTGCTTAGTTAATGGCTTTGCTAAATTTATTTGCTTTGTGTATCTGCAGATGCAGCTATATATATTCAATGGTAATCACTTTTAGGTCAAAATGAGTGTTGTATTTTAACTCTGTTCTTTCCCATCTTTCTTTTTATAATTAATATGAGTGTGTTACGGTGATTTCGTTTGTGTTTTTTCTGGTGATATGAATATAGTGTCCTCAACTTGTCCTTTTAACTTTAGATATCACAAAAATTTTAATAAAGTGAGAATGGTTTACCTCATATTTTAATTTTGTCCATTTTGTTGTGCCTATTTTTCAATCTTGCTATACCTGTAGTTGAGTTAAGCTTAAACACTAGCAATGATGAGTTGAAGTGTTGCTGACATACTGATAGAAGAAAAAGTGAGGTTGCGTATACCCAAAGATGTTTCTTAACCTTGCTGCTCCAAGTTAATTTTTGCCACATTTGGGAAGAATTATGTCTGTGTGTACATCGTTTTTCTTAAACTTATGTGCATGATCTTTGAGAAACTTTCTGATTTTGTACTTTGAACTTGAGCATTGTTTCTTGCCAGAGTTGTCTACTTCCTCACCTACTTGCACCTTTGTTTGCATTACCTTTTCTCACCTAATGGTAACATCAAGCCCTTACCATATATTATGAATGTCATTTGTGGTCTCATCGTGTGATTATGTGTTTCTTGTGCATGGTTACTGCTGATGGCTATAATAATTTGTGTGCATTGTGACATGTCGATTTTTCTTCTCCTTTCAAGATCTTCTGCACGTTTTATCATATCTGCCCAAGGATCTTAATTTCGTGAACTACACAGGCTATATTGGCTGGAGAGAGTATGCTTCCTTCTTTCAAAAATTTTAAGTTAATAGATGTGATTACCCGGATTAGATTTGATAATAGTTCAAGTATTTATCTTTTCAGGTCAAGGAAATTGAAGCCTATAGTAGTCGATCAAGCACTCTTCCTTGCAGAGAACAGCGAGATGTTTTTTGCCACTCAAAAGAGACCCCTTCCAGATGCCTACCGATTGTTCACAGGTCAGTTTCTCCAACAGTACTCCCTTTGTCTTTTCCAAGGGTATCATCTCAGCTCATGTAAGGTTTATGAATTAATGATACACATGCTCGGCAGTTGCCATATTCTTCTTTCATTTTTTCGTCCACAAAAGAAAAATCATTAAATCAAAAGTTTCCCCCGAGTAACCTATGTTTGAAAATTTTCCCGTATTTTTCCCAAATGATAGAAAATAGAAAACAATAGATAAATAAATATATAAAATAAAGGAAAAGGTACTTCCTTGCCCTCCTGTCCCCTCAACTACCTATGTTCTAGAGATAGCAATGCGGATAGTTGTAGCATCTCTAGTGTGCTGTGCATTAATGTTAGCATATAGACTCTATATAATGAGAAAGGTAATTCTTTGATGTTACTATGAACAAAATTTAAGTTAATGAAAAAATAATTTTCAGGTGCGCGCGTTGCTAATGACATAAAGGTAATACTTTGATGTTACTGTTAGCAAGTATTGAGTTAATAGTTTTGTAAAGATAAAAAATACTTTTCTCGTGCTCCCATCGCTAAGAAAACATTGTTCAAATACACTAAATTTGAAATTAATTACATGCCTCTCCATTCACAATGCTGCTCTTCAAGTATATTTCACCACATTCCTTTTTGCATCTTCAAACAGGCATAGTAGAGACCTGTTATTTTATATTTGTAGCGAAATAACTTACACATTTTTTTGTTTGTTATTAGGTTTTTAATGAGTAAAAGAACATGGTTATGCGTCTATCTAAATAACCAAAGGTCCTAAACATCAATCTCATTGCCACACATGAGACATGACTGATACTTCATCCAATGTTTGGCTTGCGTTTGGCAGTTGTCATCTGGGGAAGAAACTTAAGTATAAAAGAGTAGAACAAGTAAGCCAGCAAGAGTGTTTGCATATTCTCATATGTAGGCTACACACTAGCATGAAAAGCACTAGAATAATGAAGTTTATCATTTTTAGTAAGTATAAACGGTTTTCTCCAATGTTATATCTGTGAAAAGTTGAATGGGACTAGTTTCTAACCACTAATTGAGACTGGTTCTTACTCTTATGTTATATGGGCTGTTCCCTACAGTCCATTGTTGGACTGCTGGTATTACGAGCTACGCAGATATAAGACATTTTTCTGTAAAAAAAATTATAGTGGGATGGCCTGATTTCACTGTGGAGTGTGGAATTAGTATATGATATTTAGCACCTTCTCGTTGTTGCCAACGTTCAGTATGTGTTTGAAATTTAGACCCCAAAACCAAATGAGGTTCTACCCTGTTCTGCAGCATATGTAAGTAATCTTGAGGTTCTATCCACATTCAGATGCTATCAGGAGCTGAAAGTATTTGAATGTGGGAATTAGTTATTGTTGATTCGCACATCTTTTCTTGCTAATAACTTTAGCTTAATAACTTGAGCACCTAAAATTTCAATGTGGATTGGCCAGACAAAAGTGATATATTATCACATCCAACTGTGGCATAAGAGGCTGAAATTTTGCTTGCCACCAGAATAAGCTATTGATGAGCTATCTATATGTTAATAATTAGCCAAATAAATATCAGCTAAAAGTCCATTTTTTCAATTTTCTCCCCCCTTTTTCCACTACTCCCGTGATCTATCGAAAATCATAACAAAGTCTCTTATAGGGAGTCCCATCCTATAATACGAACCGACTTTCTTTTTTTTTTTTTATTTTTTTTTATTCTTGCAGGTTCATCGTCGGCAATCTTAAGCCGCAAGTTCATCGAGTACTGTATCATGGGAACAGACAATCTACCCAGAACCCTCCTAATGTACTTATCCAACACGCCCACATCCTCCTCGGTTTACTTCCCTACAGTTCTCTGCAATACCCCCCGATTTAACCGGACTACATTCAACCTCAGCCTCCGCCACCTGTCTCTCGACTCCCGACAAAGACCCCGTTTCCTAAACTCCACAGACTTTGACTCTGTGATTGAGAGCGGGAACGCCTTTGCTGGGCCCTTCCATCCGGATGACCCAATTCTCTATCACTTGGATCGGGTAATCTTAGGCCGAGACTCGGGAAAAACAGTCCCCGGAGGGTGGTGTTTGGGGGAGTCCAGAGAGGATAGGTGTAACATTTGGGGAGATGCGGATGTGTTGAGGCCCGGCCCTGGTGCAACGAGGCTTGAAGCCCGGTTCGTTCGGGCCCTGTCGAGTGAAACGGGCCGGTGTGTGGAAGAATGATGTCATTTGGTTTGATTTTTTCGAGTGACCATGTTATGTATTTTATTGGTGGGGGGTTGGTAGATTCTTTTATAGAGCGTTTGTTGTACTTGAAAGAAGAGGTTAAGATTTTTGCACATTGAAAATCCTGTGTTATGTGTGAACCACGATGGATGGGTGGAACTGTAATGTTCTTTGGTATCAAAGATTTAGCAGAGCTTCTATTTTCTCTATTTCGTATTAAATTTCAATTCTCACAGACAATGTTAGTGTTCCCATAATTTTCTTTAGAAAAAAAACGTTGGTTTAATTCGTTTATAGTATCTAATAGGATTGTAAACAAATCGAATCAAAGCGAATACTCAGAGATTCGATTTGGATTTGTTAAAATATTCGAAGATTCGAATTCGTATTCGATTCGTTAACGAATTCATTTTTTGAATCGTATTCGATTCGTTTAGAATATTTGAACATATTTGATTCGATTCGAAATTTGTTTTCAAAAAAAAATTATAATTAAAAAATATTATAATTACAAAAAATAATTTTTATTTTTGTATATTTGTAAGGAAAATTGTTAATTTATGATGTTTTTACTTTTTATGTCATAAAAATAGTAGAAATATAACAATATATATATATATATATACATAGGGATTGGATCCAATGAGTCCACATATTTAAAGTGTGTCCGTGAGACCAGATCTCAGCCCTTAATTTCTCGCTCGATCTGATGGTCAGTAGTAGCCTCTTAAATAATGATTTGGTTCGCGGTTTTATGTTGTCCCGTCATTTTAAAACGTTTGAGTTTTCAATGCTCTCTCTTCATCATTGTCTTTTTTCGTTTCCCTTTATCTTTGGCGCTCTCTCTCATCATTCTCTCAGTTTTCGACGCTACCTCAGTTTCCAAACCTTGCAGATTCAATTTTCGTCGACGTCTTTCATCATTTGTTCTTCGCTTTCGGTTTTTGTTTGAGTTATCTTCCGATTTCTCTCAATATCGTCGTAGTTGCAGTTCTGATTTCTCGCAAGTTGGTGAGTATATTTGTTTTTATTTTACTTTTCTGTGTTGTTTTGAATTTTTTAGTTTATTGTGGTTGTATATCGTCGGCGTTGTTTTTTATGCTAAATCTGTTGTGATCAACCCTATTTTATGCTATTTTAGTTGATGAATAATGTATAGATAGTATATTTTTTATGTATATTTAGTTGTTTTTTGTGCTAGATCTGTTGAGAACATTTCGTTGTTTCTCGTCTCTGTATTAGAGCTTGTAGAATGCATAAATATTGTATGTCTTTTGCATTTTTAGTTTTAGAATGCAGGGGCAACACTCTTTGTATTGTTGCTATGTTAGTTAATAACGTATGCATATATAGTTTATGTTTCGTGCTTATTTAGTTATCAAATGATGATTGACATGTCCATATCTACCTATTGCTATATTAGTGCTCGTATGACACATAGATAGTGAATATATCTTTGCATGTTTTAGATCTACAATGTTCTGATATAGTTGGTTGATGTTGCATATTTAGTTTATATGAGTTGCATATTTAGTTTATATGAATTGCATATCTAGTTCATATCAGTTGCATATCTAGTTTATATGACATGTTTTGATTTTGCATATCTAGTTCATATGAGTTGCATATGTAGTTGGTTATAATGCGCATTTATTTTTAATTAGTATATATCATATAATTTATTTCATTTTTGTGTTATTGTAAGTCAGATATTCTTGAAGTATGCCTCGTGGTAAGAGTAGCAAGCGTAAAAGGGCAGATGCTGATGATATTCTGTTGCTTACTGATGGCGCAGAAGGTCAGTTGGATAGTAATAAATCATTCCCAAACGCGTTAACTCGGTCTTCTCCAAAGATTCTTATGGACGCTATGAAATCCTTTAACCAAAAACACCGAATAGCTGTTGAGCAAATGGGTTTTGGATGTCTGTTTGATCTGAAAATTAAAGAATTTCCGACTCAGTTGGTGTATTGGTTGTTGTCGAACTTTGATCCTGTTAGTTGCCAGCTTGAATTTGGGAAAGGAAGAAGTATTCATGTCTCATCTTTGGACGTTCAGCGTGTTCTAGGCTTCCCCAATGGTGATAAGCCTATTGAGAAGAAAAACAAATCTGAGGAGTGTGATTTGTTGAATCATTGGAAGGGTTGTTTCGGCCAGTCTTCATTGAAAGTTACTCCCGATGTTGTATGCAATAAAATGATGGAGTGTGTTGATGGAGATTACTGGTTCAAGTTACATTATCTTGCTCTTGTGGATTGTCTGATTATGGGAACAAATCAATCTGGATATGTGAATCCTCTTTTTTTTTTCAAGTCTATTTCTGATGTATCAGCTGTTTTTGAGTTGAATTGGTGCGACTACGTCATTCAGAACCTTATATCAAAGACTGATCACTGGCACAACAGTAATAAGTCTCAATTTAATGGTCCTGTTCTTTTTCTTGTGGTAAGTATTCATCTCTATATTATTTTCTTGTAAATTGTTTAGATTGTTATTGTTTGATATTTTTATTTATTTATTTATTTATTTATTTTGTTGTCAAAACGCAGGTTTTATATGTTGATCGGGTAGTGATTTATGAACGAGATGTTCTTCCAAGGAGTCTGCCTTCGTTTGTTGGATGGAATTGTGGGATTCTCTGTCGACGATGCTCTAAAGAAATTAAGGTGGGTGGTTTTGGACGGGAATTTGTTGATGAACCGATGGAGATTTCGGCTTTACAGTTCAAGAAGCCTGAATCAAAGGAGTTTCTGATGATCCTGTACAGGTATGTTATTTCTTTGTTGGGTTTTTTTTGCATATTTAGTTAATATGACTTGCATATTTAGTTGTTTCTTTTATGATGCTTAGTTCATAATAGTTGCATATTTAGCTGGTTTTTATTACATATTTAGTTAATATGACTTGCATATGTATTTCATATGTGTTGCATATTTAGTTCATATGAGTTGCATATTGTGTGGTTAATGCTTAGTTCATCTGTTGTGCATGTTTACTTCTTATGTGTTGCATATGTACACCTATTTTGATGCATATTTAGTTGATTTTCAATGCTTATGTGCTTATAATTTGTCTATTTTTTTATATCTTTCTCTATTTAACAGGTGTACAGATCAAAGCTTCTGAGCAAAGTTGCCTGTCTGGCCACTGATGTTGTTGATGTTATTTCGTTGCTTCAAGATGCACCTGAGGAGGTGGCATCTGATGAGAATTACATTCATGAAGCAACGAAGAATCTCATTTCTTCCAATTCAGAGAATCCTGAATCTTCACAAAGACCTGCTGCTACAAATGATTTTGATGACAACGAGGAAACGAATGCTTTCAGGAATAACCCAGAAACCATTGCAGCAATCGAGAAGATTGAGCGAGCCATTGAAAAGAGAGCTCAATTCAAAAAGACAATGGATGATATTCCAAGTTTTTCTTTGGGAATTGGGTTGTCTCAAGAAAGTGACCGGAGTTGGGATGATGTTCTTAATATTTCTAAGCAATTTTCTGAAGATCCATTGAATGTTGATGATATTTGAGGTGAAAGAACAATCCCTAATGTTGCTGTTGAAGCGTCTGTTGCAGAACCAGCTGCTGAGACTCATGTTTTTGTTGAAGTGCCAACTTCTGATGAAGTGCCTGTCAAAGCGCCAACTTCTGATGAAGTCCCTGTCAAAGTGCCAATTTCTGAACCAGTTGTTGAAGTGCCTGTTGCGGAACCAGCTGTTGAGACTCATGTTTATGTTGAAGTGCCAAGTTCGATAATTTCTGATGTTCCTGTTGAATCAACAATTGCTGTGCAGCATGTTTGTGTTCAAGAAGCAGCTCTTGATAATGTTCAAGAAGCGGTTGTTGAGATGGAGATTGAAAGAGAGAAATTGAAAGAGAAGGAGATTGCAATAGAGGAAGAGAAAGAGAAAGAGAAAGCGCATGAGATAGATAAGGTGACAGATTGGGGGAAATGTTGTTACTACTTATTCTATTTTGTATTTTTATGTACTTCAATTTTATTTTTAATCAATAAGTTATGTATTTGGTTGCAGTTTGCGGTAGTTGAGGATGTAAATTTGTTGAAGAAAGAGAAAGAGAAGAAGAAACAAAAAAAGAAAGTTCAGTTTTTTGAAGAAAAAAGAGAAAGAGAAGAAGAAAGACCTGTGAAGATGCTGAGGAGACTAAGAAAGTACCAAAGGTCAAAGAAAGTTCAGAGTGTGACGGCCACGGATAAGGATACACATTTGGTTGATGTTCTAGAGCCAAGTGTTGTTTTCAATTGGATTGTTGAAGATGCTGAGGAGACTAAGTATCTTTTCCTACTTATCTATATTAATTTTAATTTTTCATATCCTGCTTACAACTACTTATAATTAATTACTATATTTTTCTTTTAGGTTTGATGTAATTTTTAAATTTGGTGATGCTATGATCATGAAAGAGCAGCTTGAATCCTTGAAAGTCGATGGGTATCTTATGGTTGGTGTTCTTGATATATGGTCAACAATTCTAAATGCTAAAGAAAAATTTAGGGAATCTGGTTGTCCTCTAAAATTTTTTTCATCTACCTATATCAGTGTAAGTTTATTTTTTTATTTTTGCCAACTCTTTTTGATATACTAGTTGTTGGCAGATGTGTAAGTTTATCAGTTCTAGATATATGCATAGATAATGTATTTTAGATGCATTATTAACTGTTCATTCTTGCATAGCTTGTCCATATCAATATGTTGTTTGTTCTTGCTATATTAGTTCTTAAATGATGCATAGATTTTTTTCTTTGAATGCATACTTAGTTGTCAACTTATGCAGATTGTCTGCAGAACAATATGTTGTTTGTTTCTTGTAACATGTATAGCTAGTTTACTTATGATGCATATTTAGTTGACAATTGTTGCATATGATTTGCAGAATAATTTGTTTTTTGTTATTGCTATATTAGTACTTGACAGTTGCGCAGATAGTTTATATGTTTTACATATTTATTATATTTTGTTGCTCACTAGATATTTGTAGTCAATTTTAATTATAAAGTGTTTTTATATATTTGTATTGTTTTCAGCAATACACCATGTCCATAGGTGATGAAAAATGGGAGTTGAAGAATAAGCTCAAGCTGTTTGAAGATACTTTTGATGCCGAATTCAATGGTTCTGATGCTCATCCACATCTTAAAGATGTTGATATGGTAATTTTTATTTTTTGTTATGAAACCAATTTTTTTAATCTACTTAATCTCATGGTAATAATATATATAGTTTATTTGTCTTC